CCTCCCAACCACCCTGGGGGGTAGGTTTGATGATCCCCCCACTCTCCAAATGAGAAAACACAGAGCTTACATGCATCAGAGCAAGGGTTCCCACCCAACTCTCTCACTTTGTAGTGCACACTCTGTCCACTAGAGTGAAAAATCAAGAAACAAACTAGGAAACAAACGAAGAGCAAACCCAAGTTATTAGGTATGTTTCTTTCAAGGTATTGAGTTGTGAGGAAATTTTTTAAAAGGAAGGATTTGTTTATGGAAAGTTCTGTCTTCAAGAAAGGACAAATGAGACTAAGTAAAGAAAAGTCAAACAAAATCAGCACCTAACATCAGTCTTGGCATATAGCTGATGTTTAATCATTGTATGTTGAGTTAATATGAATTAATAATTGTATGAAAATATCATGGTCAACATGACAAAGACTTCAGCTAATATCCTAAGGTAGGAAAGATTAAAAATATATTAATCAAGTTCAGTTTTTCTTTTTCTTTTTTTTTTAAAGATTTTCATTGGTAAATTGGGGAAGGGGACCAGCCAAGTTGTTCTTCAATCTTCGTTGTGGAGGGCGCCAGTTGCCATCTGGCTGCCTGTCGGCAGCTTGTGGCCTCTAAGCTCAAGGTGCTGTGTTCAATCTTAGTTGTGGGTGGGCATAGCCACCATCCCATGCGGGAGTCGAACCAGCAGTCTTGTGGTTAAGAGCGCAAGACCTATCTACTGAGCCATCCGGGCGGCAGCTCAGCTCAAGGTGTCAAGTTCAGTCTTAGTTGCAGGTGAGCGTAGCCCACCATGGAACACGCAATCTTGTTGTTACACCAGCTGACCCATCCTGCCACCTGTTGGCAGCTCAGCGACAGCTCAGGCACAGCATAACTGGCCCATGTGGGAGTCAAACTGGTGGCCCTGTTGCTCAGAGCTCGCGCTCTTAAGCCAACTCTTAACCAACTGAGCCACTCGGCTGGTCCTTTTTTTTTTTTTTAAGCCCCAAGACTTTTGCACATTGTAAAGTGCTGAATGAGTATTTTGAATGCTCTTATTTTTTGTTTTATTTTTACTTCTTTTTTGTTTTGTTTGTTTAAAAGTACTTGCTAAAGTAAAAAAAGAAAAAAATCAGCTTTTACTTGGCCTTCCTGGTAGCTGTCATTTGGATGCTATAATATTGGAATTTGCGGGATATCTCATGGGGGACAATATAATGGAATACCTGAAATTGAGACCATGATGTAGAGCCACAGTGTGAGGATGCTATACCAGAAATCT